GGAGCAGAAAATGATCGAAAGCCGGCCGCAGCGATAGATGCTGCTCCCGAACCAGTGAGGAAAAAGGATTCACAGGAGCCGAAGCAGGAGTGAGTGCGCTGCTAATCGATTGAGCCTTGCGGAATCTATCGTTGGTAAAATATCTATAATAAGTTGTTTCATTTTCAGACAGTCTTTGTTGGAGGTTCAACAGAGGAAAAGGAATATGCCATTTAATTCGTCTGTGTTCAGCATAAGAAAAAATCGGTAGGTATTTTCACTGGGAAAAAATGAAACGTTATGTTCAAATGGTTTACATGCTTTACAGGTCTCTACCCGATTTGCACTCTATTGCCGACCAAAAAAGTGGTTATCATTCAGATGTTGAAGGAAAACCTGTAAAGGAGACTCCAAGAAAGTGAGTTTTTTTTAGTTTCATATTATCCAGGTTCATATCGCGACAGTGCGACTAGTTTGACTAAAAATCTACGTACACCACTTTTATCCCGCTAGTGGAGGCAGCGCGGTAGGAAAAGGCCCCGTTTGTTAAGCTCACGATCCTTGGATCAAGTCCTGGATCCCAAACCGCTATCAGCTCCCACTTTTTCCAACTGAACCTCCCATCCTTCTGGACCGGTCGATTAGTCCCAAGCTCGTATTGATATAAAAACACTGAACTTTATATCGGCTAGCCTAGCAAGTTATGTGTAATCTAAATCGCACTGAAAAGCCCTTACGAGTTTGAGTGGAAGTAGGGTGGGTGGCGCATTCAGAAAGAAGCTGGTAAATGTCAAAAGCTTCATTGTATTATTTGAACTTTCAAAAATAGTTCCTCATCCAGTACAATGGTGCGTTCCGCATCTTTTTCTTAGTAATGTGAACCTAAAAGGAAAAGAGGCAGAGTAGCACCTTGGGACCCATCTCGATTAGTTGTTAAATCTGGAGAGGTGGCACCATAAAATAAGAGGGAAGACACACCACAAAGCGGGTTATACGCTGAAGAAGTGCTGCACAATGGAACAAGCGCAACTACTCGTTGTTCGGCTAGACAGTTTCCATGCTATACTTGAAAAACTAAACTATAAAAAGAAGCAAAAGGCCGTATACCGAGTACCAGTATTTAACTTGTTCAGATTATCAACACGCTCCCTACGACATTCGAAATCGCAAGCGTTTGACAAGTCATTGAAGCGTGAAAGGGAGGTGGAAAGTATAGCTGTACCCACGAAAGCTCCAACCCAGCGACGAAAGAAAAGCCGTGTTGCTTTTCAGCCAATCAGTATCAAAATAGAGGTGAGTACGAAACTGCTAATACTGGTAAACATTCCCATCTATTTTCGTGCCAAAGTAGAGTAATCTATTTATTTTGTTATGAACGATTAGAATGTAATCCAAATTATCCTCCAGTGCATAAAATGCTTCCTTCAGAACGAATCCTCAGATTCTGAATGTTCATCAGTTTCGTCAAGCCCTGCACATTCACTGCTCGATTCACGGGATGTAGACCGGATAGCCGACGGTGCCTTGTCAGATTCTGAAGTCGATCGACATCGAAATACTCCAGAGCCTGTAAGTATGAATTTCAGCATTTGAAATTCGATGTGAATTAAGGTTTTTTATCAGCCGAATTCAATGTGCTACATTTCAGCATGCGAGCGAAGTGACGGACTGGAAATGGGGTCAGCTTCCTGAAACCAGGGAGAATAAACTTAAACAAGAACAGAGCAAGGCTGAAAATACATTGAAGCCTAAGGTAATCTTTTGCTTTGTTAGAGAGTCAGTGTTTTTTTTTGTTTTGATTGACTGGTGAAGGAGTTACAGTAATCAATCACGGCATGAGTAAAGGCAGTGACAGTACCTGTATCATCCTTTATATTGTGCGAACTAGAATTGATAAGTTCCAATAAGAATGTTCGCGCCCCATTACGAAAGAAAATTGGCTGGTTTTCCTTCTAGTCTCTTTTTCTCTGTCTAGGCTCAGAACGAGGGGAAGGGGGGGAGGGTAGCCGATCAAGAGAATCCCAATTTGTCCGTTCCGTGGCACGCGACTTTTTTTAAAATTTTCGTCAGCCTGTCGATTTGAGCATTGTTTCTGTAAGCTACGGCATAGTGGGCAATTTTTGGCTATACACTAGCTACTGTCGTCATCTACGGCCTGAAAACAGGTCGTTTGCGCCCGATGTGCACGGTGCGGCGAATTACTTTGCCTTAATTCCCATACTCGGAGGGGGGGGGGGCGGGGGGGGGGCGGGGGGGGGGGGGGGGAGGAAGCGAGGGGTGATTTGAGAAGCTAGTAGCGGTTTGTTTAGATCCGTGGTGCGTGACCTTTTCGTATGGTTTTGATGAATGATCTATTGATCATTGTGCTGTGCCCAGAAATGAGTGGAATTTTTTGCATTGCGTGGCCTGGAGCTGAAAGTTTTGTTAAGATGTCTCATTGGCCGCAGTTTATTTTATTTCAATATTACAGGGTGAGTCGTCGGGCTGGACGTGGTTCCCATGGGGCCATCGTTCGTCTCCTGCACCTGCACCTCCAGCAGAGGAAGGAATTTCATTAGACGAATTGTTCAGTCCGGATGCTGCATCAGATCCTTCAAAGATAGCTAAATATCTGGGGAAGGCCAGTAGGCAGGTTGTATGTGTCCTGCGTAGTTCTTACTTGTCATTGTTGTTTCTAGAATCGTTTTGTAAAATTTATGTTCCCTAAAAATGCAGCAGTTTACGAAGAATGATGGAATTGCTAATACGTCTTGTTAGCTGCGGATGCTGAGTTGGGGGCAGCGTTTGGCGCAGCACCAGCTCGTTTTCATCCAGTTGCTGAAGAGGGCAAAGCGACAATAGTTGATGGAAAAAAGCTGGCGCAGTGCCAAACCCTCCCTAGCAGAAGCGAACAAGACTGTTGTGATCTCTATAGTTGTAGTTGCACTTTCTCTTATGTGGCAGGGACATGGTGTTGGATTTGACCCGCGTATGTTGACTTGAGCTTTTATAGGGTACTTTGTTGTAAGGACAGTACGCATTTTGAAGTTCACTATTAAAGCTTGTTCAGAGTTAGGGCATCGACAGGAGGGTCGCGGATGCACGCATCCCGTGGAACCTCCCAACCATCGAGCCCTACTGCCCGATCGGATGATTCTAACTTCGCAGATAAGGTCGGTTCCTATATTGCTCGCTTAGCCTCGTGTGGCGGCCTCTGTATTAGCCCTGTTTTATAGACTCCGACGCAGGGAAGGCGATCGAGTCGAGAGAGTCACACGAGAGAGTGCGGTGCGAGAGCTCGACGCCTAGGATGCAGCGAAGTGCTCTCTTCTATTATGGACGAGAGGAGAATTTTTGTCGAAGTATGAATCTTCATAAGCTGCAAAATAGTTTATTTTATCATTATGAGCCCATCTCCTTGTGGCGAGAAGAATCCACCAAGTGCTTATTGCAGCCCGCTGAGTGAAGATGAGCTGGATGATCCTGGATGATCCTCGTCCATCTTCTCGTCCTTCGTACATGCTATCACTTCGCCTTTCGTCAGAAAAGCTCAGAAGCCTTGGTTTGGTTTATGGAGCGAATGAATGTCGATTCAGTATTACAACCAAGTTCCAGGTGATTTTTTTGTGCTTTGAAGGTGGAAACGTTTAGCTACATATTGAAATTGTATCTTTCATTCCAAATCGTTATTTTCGTTTCAATTCGGACATTTTCCCCCACCAAGTGGACACTTTTCAAACCAAATCATTTGTTTTTCAAACCAAAACGGACACTTCTCAACCAAGCCAGGAGAAACTTTCCCTGTTTTTGTTCCGAGCGAGAAGGAGACCATAACCTGCCAGTTCAGACTCCAGGCATCCAACATGCATCAATTTTCGGAACTAGGCGGAGCTACCTTTTAAAGGCCTGAAAAGGCGAAAGTTTGTGAGAAACTTCCGCAAGAAGAGGCAAAAACGGGCATTGTCGGAGGAGCGGGTTTGGTGTGTCAGTATATAAAGGCGTATCTATAAACATATTTCTTTTGTGAAAATGTATTTGAAAAGGACGACGTTAAGAAAGGTATAAGGCTAAAAGTACTTGTATGGGTGTATCAGTCCTTTTCAGTGAGTGCGTATATGCGAAATAGTGAAAGTGCAAGAAATATACGATGTCATAATTTACAAAGCAATTTTGGGAAACCATGACCGCGCTGAAACGGGGACTGGTGTAGGGGCGGGGCTTGTAGCAGTACCTAGTTTGGTTTAATCAACCAGTTGTAGGGAGAGCCCGGTTTGACCTCAAAAGATATCCGATTTGGTCTGAATGATATCCAGTTGCTTTGAAAAGTGTCCGATCATTAATGAATATAGTCAGCTCAGTATTTTTATCAAATGCGCTGTATGGAATTGACGGGCGGGGCCGGAAAACGACGTCATTGGCGCGCTTTTCTTCCTGCCTTCTGTGAGGATAAAGAAGAGAAGAGAAGTGCGACTCGCCGATGACGTCTTTCCTGATCTCGCCCCTCTGACGACCCTGAACGGTGTTCTTGGACAAACTGTTTAGGTCTAACGCTTTCTATGCATTCAGGGTACATCATGGTGTAGCTGTAACATATACCTTTACAAGTGGTATGAGCGTATTGTGATTTCCGACATAGATGGAACAATCACAAAAAGCGATGTGCTTGGCCATGTTATCCCGGCCATTGGTGGAACGTGGGCTCATGCTGGAGTTGCGGAATTGTACACACGGATTAAGAACAATGGGTAATTTTTAGTGTTTTTAGTGTTTTCTCGATTCGCTTAGGCTGAGGGCGTGATCTATCCAAACCTCACCATGTTATAAATGTGAATATCGTTATTTTTAGTTACAAGATGGTGTATTTGTCATCTCGAGCGATCGGACAAAGTCATACAACGAAACAATATCTGAAGAGCATTGCTCAGGACAGTAAGCAACTGCCTGATGGTCCGGTGCTGCTGTCACCGACAAGTGTGCTCATCGCGTTTAGAAGGTGCGACATTCTTTTTGGATAGATATTCATGAATGCGCTTCACTTCTGTGGCAACCAGCTTGTCACTTAAATTTCTAAATTATACGGATGCCGCAGGGGTTTTTTTTTGCATGAGCTGTGAACTCCTATAAGTCTTTTCCGCTGCAGTTGAAGAGGCGTGTCAGGCGAATGGATTTGGCGCGGCACCAAGCTCGTTTTCCATTAGTACTTGAAGCGAGTAAGTAGATACACCGCATCGTATTCTTCGCGTCGGTCGTTTTCCAAGAACTGATGTTGCTTACTCGCTTCAGCAACTGGTGGAGAACGGGTTTGGCACTGGACCGAACCCATCTTGCCGGGCACGGTCCTTGCAGCGAATAAGACTATACTTCATGTTGAACATTGTTACCTAAGGGAAGTGATTAGCTGATCAGCTAATTAGTAGAACTAAAAGAACTGTTACCTCGCGCTAATGCTAAAAATTAAAGCTTTCATTTTGTCTGGAGTCTGTGCAGTGTGCAGAGGGAATCCTTCAGCTGTGTTTATACTTTTCGTCGGTTTTTTGAGCTAACAATCCAGCATATTTCCTTAGCTATGCGTGATTGGTACAGATGATTCATTGTGCTAGCGATTCTTTTCCTCCGAGTGTTTTAAGCATTCGGAAGGAAAGCAAAAGATAGATATCGATCTAGCGTTTGGAGGAAGCGCCAGCGCTTCGTGCTTTCCGAATTGTTTGAACGAACTGATATTTATTGTGGTGGTCGAGACCTTTGCTATCCTTTTCGCTCGAAACGCTTGAAACGCTGGATCGATACCCATACTGTCCTGTTCGCTCAAAAGTGCTTAGAAGGAACTGCAACGCCCGAAACACCGACGAAAAGTATGAATGCGGTCTCTTCCTTGTTCAGAGATTTGTTGTTTTCAGGGAGGTGATCGAACGCCGTCCTGAAGAATTCAAAATAGCTGCGTTAACTGATCTTGAAGAAACCTCTTCCCCGTGAAGCAACCATTCTTTGCTGGATTTGGTAATCGCGAAACGGTTCGTTCAGAACTTTCGGTCTCAATTTGTTCGACTTTATTTCTAATTTTGCATATTTTGCCTCATATTTGTTATCGTAGTTCGCTTTTAACTCTGTTTCCTTTCAA